TGATTTAGCACGATGTACGTGACCAGGAAGACACATAGAATAGTATTATACTTTTAAAATCTCTTGACGAGGTAAGCAACATTGTGGCGAAAGTATATCTGCAGCTCACAAAATGTGTGAAAAAACGTAGTCTGTTTAGTTGTATTACTATTCATATGATATGATACGGAGATACAGTATTCGCTAATGTAAATATGACAAACAAGTATACAAGTATATCCATATACACATGCATCTCACGCAAGAAGATAGGTAAATGATAGGTACGAATATTCATTGGCTTGTCAATAAACATTTCAGTCGACCTATACCAGATATACTTGTATGGAATCTGAATCGGACTTACAGACGGGCGGATAGATGGATACGGCTACATCAACTTCTTCTGCGTGTATTATTTATTTTTTGTTATAGATAAATAATTTTACTACAGTATACAAGTTGTATTCATATTATAAAGTTTACAAACAATATGTTCCGTTTTATAAAAGCGGTATGAGTTCGAAAGCTTTTTGCTTGCATTTTTATGAAAATGGTTTCCCTCTGTTTTATCTACGTGGAGAAATGAAAACCCGCAGAGCACATTTAAATTTGTTGACTTTAGGAAACCAACATATATGCTTAGAGTAGCAAAAAAAGGGGAAAAAAGCAAATAGTAGCATAAGCTTACACAAATTATGCGTGACAGCGAAAAGCGCTAAGCTCTAAGCTTGAAGCCTTGGCCAAAGTAACATAAGTATCTTAAATGCTGGTGAGCTCTTCTATGTACAATGGTGCGTATGCGTAATCCCATTTTGGCAAGAGCAGCCAAAGAACAACTAACAACGCGCACTAAAACTTGGATTTCGTCTATATAGCTATGAGTGTACTGCAGATGAATGTATGAATGTGTGTGTGTTTGTGTATATATATATGTGTGTGTGTGTGTGTGTGTGTGTGTGTGTGTGTGTGGATTCACCAGTTTGTATGTTTTCCAAGCAATTAACTCTTAATGGCGAACATAAACTGCCGTTGTCTAGAATCAGCGAAAACTTTTGGCTCCCTATGGAGGGTACGGAGAAATTATAAATTTCAATGTGCATTCAACAGTACTTTTAAAGCTAAGGAATTTATGTGTTTAATTTGCTTTATGAAGAGCGAAAATTGAACATGCGAAGAGTTTAAAATGATTGTATTAACGTATTACAACGTTCAATTTGTTTTGTCACATTGCCAAATAAGTGGAAATTGATTGCAATGCAAAAACTGAAATTTCCATGGAAATAGCCTGTCAGCTCGTATGTGACAACTTTTTTGGACTCGGCTTTCATTCATCAGATACACTGTATTGTTGCAAATCTAAACTTACGAGTGAAAAACTTCAAAACATGAGGTATTAATAAAATCGTTTCACTTTGAGGAAATGGGATATACACACAGGCATATGAAAACAAGAGAGAACGCTACAGCAAGCCCGACAGTGAAATACCCTGTACCCAGGTAAACTTCCGTCACTGAGGTATATGCGCCTCTAGCGGAAGCAAAAGGAAGAAGAAGAGCGATCTTGATACTGCGGCTTGTGGGACTAGTACCGGAGTGAAATTGTTTCGCTAATAACTTTTCTTAAAATTAACCGATTTAGATGAAGTTTGAAACAAAAGTAGACTATAATGTATGAATTATGTGCGCAACGTTTTGCTTAGGTAGCTTTTGAAATGTGGATGCTATTGACGAAATTCTGTAGCGGTGGAAGGGGGACAAAATTTCAAAAAATAAAATAAACTCGTCCTTTCTCGGATCTAGGAGAATCTGGATACCAACTTTGGTTATTCTAGCTTTTATAGCTCCTGAGATCCTTGCGTTCATCCAGACGGACAGACGGACGGATGGACACGTCTAGATCGATTTCTCTCGTCATACTGATTCAGAATATATATACTTTATGGGGTCGGAGATGCTTCCTTCTGCATGTTACATACTTTGCACAAACCTAATATACTCTTTTTACCCTACGGGTACAGGGTATAAAAATGTTTATATAAAAATGATTATACGTGTATATGTGTGTATGATTTATAGTCGTCCATAATATCATACTAAAATTTGTGTAGTGTTCATATCGGCAAAAAAAAAATATGCTACCAGCTGTCCTCCGATTTTCGCAAACTTTTAGATGTTTACAAAATATTGTTATCGACTGTTGAAACAGCTGGCACATATTTACTTCTTCATTCCTCTTTTATAGCGTCTTGTTGTGTTATTTATGTCTGCAATAAAATGTATCATTTAAGTTAAACTATAAATAAAGAGACAAACGTTTATGAGAGTTTTTGTAAGTTCCATATGCCACTCCAATCGTAAAACAGTAAAGGTTTTAACAAAAATGTTCCAAGAGGAAAACCATTAATTCTTTGTAAGATATGAAAAAGTGTATTTTTTTCACTTACATATTTTTTAGTGAGTACCAACTTTTAGTTTTAAATAACAGGACGTAAGTTTTTGCATTTGTGGAAAGTGGGAACACAGATATAGTTCCGCCTTCAGAGTCCTATATGATGGAATAAGATAGTCGGATCCCTCCAAAGCTATCCTTCACTACTGAGTTTTTGAAAATTTAAATATAATTACCAGAACTAGGCTTTATATTTTCTCTCGTCTCAAAAAAATGAATACGCCCACCTACACTTCCAACACATAGCTCTGCATGTGTACATAAACGTTTTTTTTTTTGACAATAAAAACTATTGCCTACTTATATGCGCAGAACAATAAATTACGTCAATATGAAACTTCCTTGCCAGGGTAGCTTTGCGATATAGTTGTATAATTCTGTGACATACAGTTTTCGCATAACAGAAAACCAAGGACAAGTTTTACGATATTGTTGTTTTGGTTTTTTATAGTTGGTGCCATTGTTGCTGTTGGTTAAATGTAATTCGTATCTTGTTGGCTGGCAACGCAACGCACACCTGTAATTGTAAAGAGTTTGTGCACTTGCTTGTGTGGCAGATAGACAGGCGGACAGGTGAACAGATAGACTGACACTTCGACAGCTTTCTGACAGCGTTCAGTTATTTTCGTAACTTTTTCATATTATGGCAACCATGAACCACAAGCTCAATGCTCAATGTCGCGTGAAAACGAAGTGCTGTTTGTGGCACAGCGAAGAGAGGAAGGCAGATAGTGAGAGGAATATTGTAAAGAAAGAGAATGTGTAAAGAGTAGGTGCGAGGGTGAGTGTTGAAGCTTGGCAACGACTGTCGCAAATTGAAGCACGTTGAACAATTTAAAAAAGCAGGCAAACAATGCCTGATGTTCTCTGCCAGCAACTGTGTGTTAGTGTACATACAGATACCCACACATACATGTATAAAGGTGTAAGTACGAGTATGCAGGTGTACGCTGTACAGACTAAAGTGGCAAAAGTTACACGTACAAAATATGGCCGATGGCAAATGTGCAATCATTCGTACAACGGCGTCCTTTCCATTTTTTTGTTGGCTGTTAACGTAGGGATAAGGGTAGGAGGCAAAACTTTTACAAAATCAATGCAAACATTGAAATATACTCGTATACCGAACAGTATTTCCACTCTTCAATGCTAAATTGTCTATATGTGTGTAACATACTTGTGACTTTTCAGCTGAAGCATTTGTCAACAAAAACAAATAGTTGGCATTTCATTATAAATATTTGAGTAGCTTTTAACAATGTCAATCTTCTACATTGCTCAAAGTTGTCGCACAGCTCAAATGTCATTAGTTTTTGTATCTTGTTGATTCCAGACCCAAGGCGTATGCGCAATCAAAAATAGTAACAACACACACACACACACACACACATATGCACATAAGCACACGCATCATATATATATATGCGAGTATAGTATATCAAATGACAAATTCAATCAGACAAAGCACACGACATAATTGAAGTGCGTGCGCGTGTTTGTGTGTGTCTGAGTGTGTGTGTGTGTGTGGGGGGGGGGAGGGGGGTTCTCGTCTGTTGTCTGCTTGTTCAAAGCCAGCGGCAGTACGTCCATCTCCATTCCGAAGACAAATGTTGACTTGCTGCTAAACGAAATAAAATGCATACACAGACACATGTATCTTCGTAGACAGAGGCACTGTGTGAGTGCTAGAAAGGCAAAATGCCAGCAGCTACAACGTAACATGGCATATCAATTATTCAAGCAGCATATGCAACATTGTCATGGGGCCCAATATATACATGTAGTTGTAGAAGCGGTGTGTCGGTGAGAGACAGAGGATTGTACAGTGGCTTACACATATACTATATTAATTGTTTTGTTTACTTAAAACATAACTATTAAGTGAGGATTATTTAGTTTGCTAAAATATTGCGTGACTTGATGTTTCATTTAATAATTGATTACAATGGAGTCTGTACGCAAATGATAAAAGGGTAGAAAGTATATACAAAACGTTTATACCAAATGAGCTAAATGAGTTTTCACGTTGTTGAGTTTTCAGTGAAATACTTGTACACTCTAAATAATTTAAATGGACACACACTCCCAGTAAACTTGCTTTCACATTTATTTGCTTTAATTTGTGTGCATATGTTTTGATATAATATTCTGCCCTAACATTTAACAAAAAGCTTTCTTACTGTGCCAAATTTGCGTGCATTTGAATGTGTGCGTGCCCGTAGCTTATCTGCAGAATGATTATGCTCAAAGGAAGATACGACATGTGCGCCAACTACTATTACCAATTAGCGTTCCCAGCCATGCGCCACAAAGAAGGTTGTAAATTATAATGTGGTGCAGCAATTTGTCAACCCTTAAGTTCACATACAGCCAAACGAACACGTGCTCACAGCATATGCCACATAGCCAATGACCCTTGAATGTGTGTGTCTCACTGATAAGGCTGTTACAAAGACCATCCCCTCCCCCATTCCTAGTACCAACTACCCACTCCTTTTTTTGCGTTTATTGTAAATTAGCTATTGGCATGTTGATACTAAATTTCTATTTTGTTGGTTTTCATTTACAGCAAAATGTGCGTCCGGGAGCATTGACTGACGTCTACTAAACCAAAAAGAACAACCACAGAAACAACGGCGGTGGCAACAACAACAAGAATAGTAGCAGCAACAACTTTACATCTACTCTTCACTATTTGGCGTGTTGGGCGGCATCACATAAAATGCATTTACATTTCGAACGCAACCTCAACACAAAATGCGACTGCACGATACTCTCGTTATCATGGATGGGAAAGGTGCCAGATGACATACCCGAGGTGAGTTTTGGAGACAGGGCAGGAATTGGGCTCCACTTTATGACTTGCCTAATGGCCAAGCCAGCCAAAGGCTATTAGCAAGGCGCACTTTGGCATTACCGCTTCAATATTAATGCAATAAATACATGCCGACAATGTCCATTACAAACACTGTAAGGCAGTTTAAAATACAAGCACTATTCAGGATAGCAGCCATTACTTCAAAGTTTAACCCAGATGTGTAGGTTTTATTTTCAGTACCTCGAAAATTCTTATATTATCTATATACAATAATGATCGAAATATAAGTTTTTTAGTATTTACATCATATACCTAATGGTAAAAAATTGTATATTATATATATTTCCGATCCCATCAAATATAGAAATTGTTGATAAGAATGACTAGATTTGTTGAAAACGGATTGTGCCACAGCTTAGAAAATGGCGTCCCTTATACCCTAAGTGACTGCATTTAGCTGTCAATATTTAATTTCGTTTTTTTCATAACATTCTTCCAAAATATATACATACATATTTCTAAGCTCACCAATGGAGTCTTTAGAGCGTTTAGTGATGCGTTTTTTAACTTTTGTTATAGGTGCTTCAAATTGTTCTCCTTCTAATGATTAACGCTAATTAACTGTATATATATATTATTGAAAGAATATTTTCCTTCAATCCGTTCCTTTTCCGATAATATAGTGAAGGTTGGCAGGATCTCTCTTTTATCTATTTTCAGGCATATAAAAAGATAAGAATATAGCCTTTAGAACAATTCATTGTTAATCAAAAATACTCTAAGTAATAGAAGATATAAACAAGCAAAAATTGTATAATCATATAATTTTTAACAAAAAGATGGTTAAAATGTCCCAAAATACATCAAATAGGGTTAAAGATGTAACAGTGCGGACACATGCACACACACACACACACACACAACATGCCCATAGCCTATACAAATATGCCGGTTAAAGCTTGTCGGCTGCCTATACTTGAAAAAATTAACAGTGTGCAGAGCGGAAGTGGAGGTTGTGCGCCAGTAACTTGGGTCTCAGGCCGGTCAGCATGTCTATTTTTATGCGCATTGAACGTGAGGAAAATGCTGTGTATATGTGTGTGCATGGCTGGCTATGTGTAATTGCTGTGTGTGTATGGGTTTGTGTGTGTATTCTGGGTAAGCGTTGCATTAATTTATGGTTTCGTTGCTCGCTTCGTGTTTAAAATTGATTTTACATGCTAAGTTGTTGTAGTTAGTTTTAAGCTCAAACTGACGTCGGTCATTTGGCTGCCCTTTGGTCCTGCCAAAGATCACACACGCACACATATATATAGACATGTATATATAACTTTATGCCTTCTGTCTGCATACCGAGTGCTGGTACGGCTACGGCCTTAACTTTTCCAATTATTATGAACTTTGAATGGTTGCATAACAAATACCATATAATCCTTTATATATTGAATATAAAAATCCAATCACGTTTCTGTTAGGTTCCCACATCATATCGTACACCACACACACACACACATGCACATGCACACATACATGGCCGCGTACATATCAAGTCAGTCATCGCTGTTGGTCGGTGGTTTAGTTGCTGTGTGTTTTGTAGCGCAAAATTAAAGTTAAGTGGATACGGCTAGAGCGAGTGAGCCCGTACCAACGACGTAGTACGTAGGTTCAAGTGGTTCCACGTCTGACGGTCTAACTGTCTGTCTGTTTGTCTGCCTGTCTGTGTGCTCCTCTGCCAGCCTCTTGGCACCCACTTGCACTCAAAGGACGCAATGTTCAAGCAATAAACTCGTTTGCGATTTATTTAACAGTTTTCAATTTCATTTTCAACACTCGAGTGTGAGCCGAGCATGTGTGTGTTTGAGTGTGCGGTTACGCACACGTGCCGTTACTTTTTTCCACACTGCTGCGTGGGTTCGCATCTATCTCACTTGTGTTCTTAGCAACTGCCCCGCCCATCAGTCCGTCACGGCATTCATTTCTTACAGAGGCGGCCGTTGACGCAATTTCCAGTCTGATAAGATCCTTCATCTCGCTTTTCTGCCATTTTTTCAGTGCAGATGCGCTTCTGATAAGCATCAATTGTAGCAGTGGTACGTGGCTATGAAATGTAAATTTAAAGTGCGTCTTGATAAGAAGCTTTCAATTTAGTTAAATGCTCTGGGTCCGCAACTGCCACTCGGGGGAGTTGTGGGCGTTAACTTAAAACAAATGTATAGAAATATTTCTGCTCATAAATCATCTGTGTGAAGCAAAGACAAGAGAGTGCACATTAAAATGCCTCAGATGGCTTAAATATTCCCTTTTGAAAGGCGCATTTAACAAAATGCGCATGTATAAACATATATAAGTATGTATGTATATATATATATATATCTTTTTTTTACTCGAACTTCATATGACTTCATTACAAAAAGGTTGGCAGACGGACTGTCTGTATGGTATTCCCGACTTTGCAACATAATATTTTAACAGCCACTTCGGTACATAAATAAAATATTGATAGAGTGCGCGACTGAAGTAACTGGCGCAGCGTCTTTTTCATCAAGGGCCCTCCCACAAAATACAAGTATGTATGTGACGGGCCATAAAAAGGGCGACGCATTGCTCAGCGCTCGTAAAATGTTGTGCCTTGAAAGCGTTTTTCGTTACTTTTTGGCAGGGGATTTGGGATGTGGTTTTTGGGCAGAATTCGTATCAGTTGCCTTGAAATCAAATTGCACACAATAGTCTAGGAGTATGTATGTATATATCCGTAGTATGTATTTCTGTATAAGAAATACAATGGGCAATGGTCGAATGGCAACGAACTGAACGCCATTGAATGACAAACGTTTCGCAAATGTCAACTGTCGAGTCAAGTGCACAACAACAACAATAAACACCCGTCTTGGGGGTTGCATTTCGGTATTTCACACCAACACACACAAACACACACACAAAAGTCTGTTACTGGCAAGTGAGTGACGCATCGACGGACTCTGACAATGTTGGGAGGCGTAGAAGATGTAATTGAGAAATGAAATTTGATATTTTTGGAAGCAGGCAGCCTATCCATATCTAGCACCATTACAGATAACACATTTTCATATAAAAATCATCAATGTTTAACATTCCATATAACATAAATAATATATTTGCCTAAATTCAATATGCAAGTCTCTTTGATTTCGATTTACAGGGATGTAACTTGCGTGATATTGTAGTCTAAAATCTTCAATAACATACTGTTTTTTCTTAAAACATTAGTTGGTCAAATTTTGTGCGTTTAAAAGTGCAATTACTAATTTACACCTTACATGAGCACGAATCTGGCTACAAACAAAATATGTTATTGAGGTCGTATAGTAAAATCATCCGAAATTCATAAATTATAGAAAATTTGTTATCCCGAAATATTCCAGCATCTATAATGTGTTGAAAGTTAAGTCTGCTGATTCAACATTTTATAGTTGTTCCTATCATCATTATTATTACAAAATTGCAGGATGAAATACAAAAGACTGTAGCAAAGGAATATCTTCCTTATTCCATCTTTCGAACCAGAGTGAAACAAGCGAGCCAATTACTTAAGTCACGTAATAGTGCGAGATGAAGGAAACAGCTGACAGGGCTGCCAAAACTGCTGTTGCACTCTTATCCTACTACAAATTTATTATCCCCTAAAATATCGTTCATTATTTCGAGTAAATACTGTGCAACTGTTTTGCAATATCATCATCGCAACATGCATAAAATGTCACTTGTTCCTCACCCTCATTGGTCATTATGCAAATTGTTATATTTGGTTTCTGTTTGTTATTCAACAAATTACTTCTAATGTAAATGACGAGCACTGATTTATATATTATACTTATATACAATATATATTATGTACTAAACATAGTAAAAATGTAAATGCCATTTGGACCCATGTGGTTGGGACCATTGTGCCCGGCTGGCAGCTGAAAATAAATTTTCTTACAAATTTCCCAAAATTACAAATTGCTTACGGCCGTGGTGTCGGTGGCGTTGGTGATGTGGTGGTGTTAGTTTTGGTGGCTGGAGATTTGTTTTGCATATTTATGCGAGCGTCTTAGATTATGCTACAGTTATTTTATATATTTTTCGTGTTGCCTGGCAAGTTTTTAATAAGCTGGCAAATAAATTGAAAATACGGCAACCAAGCTGAGCGCATATTAAAATCAACAACGCACGAGATCAACAACTTGAACAGATTGCAAAACAGAAAAAAAAAAGTTGCGCTTAGCGTAATTAACTTGGCAACTTGCGCTGATGAAGTCAAGCAACGTTGACGATGCCGATAGTGCCGGTGGCTGAAGAATTAGTGGCAATCTTAGCCTTAGCATCATTAGCCATGGCAGCCAGGCAGCTAGGAAGCTTAGCATCATTAATAAGGGCTGAGGCACATTGCTGCTGTTGTTGTTGTTTCAGCTTTTTCTGCTCTGAAATTCCATGAAAGTCAAAGCCACATTGTTGCCTCTTTTCCTGTCGCCTGTTCGTTTGTGTGGTTTTAGCTGCCAGCAGCATGTTGAGTCTTTGCTCCGTTTTTTTTTGCAGTTTTAATTACGGCGGTAACGAATTAATTGTGTTCTTTTCAATGTTTATGCGCTGCAAAGCTGGCCAATGCCATTTGACTGCTGTCTACTCTGTGCAAGCGAGTGAATGAATGAGTAAGCTATTGAGTGAGTGAATGTAAGGGGCGTTTATAATTATCTGTCCTAGACTGTGCAGAATTAAATCCACATAATTTTTATCCCAGCCCACGTGCTCATTTTATTTTGTTACATTTGCCACTTTCCTTTTTTATGATATTGTCTCGGTGTCTGGAGAGCGCAACTTTATTTATGTTGATTTTAGTGCACGTGTTTTTATTTAATTTTGGCGCACGGTAAGCACAACTAGGGGCCATAAAATGTCAGAGCTCTGGAAAAAATTTGCCAGGGTATCTTTATATTTATTTTTATTTTTTTCGTTGCGCTGGCGCTATAGCTACAGTTACT